ACGATCCGAGTCATTTTCCAATAAACCATTTATCATTCGAGGGGTATACATCTTTAAGTTGGAACGATTCATCAGGTGCCCCAAGGATGTGGGCTCAATACCAAGTTCAGATGAGACCCTGCGTTTCGATTTCTGTGGGCTCTGAGCGAATGCCTGAACAATTACGAATTCATTTTTTGTGGTCACAGTAACTGGTCGACCACTTCTCGGTGTGTTTTGGGTACTCCCTGTCAGTTCAAATTTGTCACGTAGTCGATAAATTGTGAGTCTTGTTGGGGAGGTGTTGTAAAGGTTTCAATCCAATGTTCTCTTACACGTTCACTATATTTTGTCTTCTAGTATTGTTTTACCATCCACTTGCGCTGTTTGTCAGTCAAATTACCTGCCATGGTTGAATTGCTAATTTAACCGAAAGATTAAAAAGGAATTATTAAAAGTACATGCATTTAAAAAGAAAATGACTAAAAGTACATGTCACTAATTTCACTCATGTTACACTACTGTATACCTACTTTTGCACCCTCCTGTATAACCCTCTGTGTTGGGCACAACCGGATGGTTAAGATGCTATACGTCCCGGGTTCTAATCCCCGTGCATCATAGGATGAAAAGACTAGTCCGTACGGCTCACTCCCAAAGCAATTTACACCTGCGTTCGTGATTTTCAGACTCTCAACCTTTTCATTCCCTGCTAGTGTTATATATATATATATATATATATATATATATATATATATATATATATATATATATATATATATATATATATAGTGCCCATGCTGAGGCTGATGTTGCATTCTTGATGCTTCTTCACCGCAGTTGGGCTAAACCAACTTACACTTAAACTAGGTCTTTTTAAGCTGGCTAAATTTCATTCCACTTTATTTGGTTTGTTCTGCCTACCTGAGTACTCTTCTATTAACTGGCCACGTTGCTTACATTAATTGCGCTTATCTCCGGTAACTGTGTTGCGTTTTGTAGCATTTTAACTGACTTGTGGACACTTTCTTTATCGCGGATTTGTTGCTAACCAACTTACTTCATATGCTTAGTTAGCTTAGAGTTATGCCACCGTATCTGTATGCATTATTGTATTTGTTTTGTTTCATCTTGTCGTTCCCGGTGATTGGGTGTTGCTTGATATCCCCGGTGTGGCTGCGCTTGATGTGCCTGTTGACAAGGTGCCTACCTGTCTATTACCCACTACCTCGTCCATACTGGCTCTAGGAGACAGTTGGTTGTTGCTGGAGGGGACGGGGTGCACGGTCCTTGTGGCCGTGTTAGGCTCGAAGAGTGGTTCCATGCACTCAGTGTGGAGCGGACTACGGTCCAGCCACCGCCTTGTGTGCGCTTGATTTCCCAAATACAGCGTGCTTGTGTTTGCCTGTGAAGGAGTGTGGGCCGGCTCCGTTGATGAAACGTGGCTCACATCCACATGCCTCCCAGTATTATTCCTTCGGGTTTACACTGGATATGGGGTGTGTGGTTGGAGCTGTGGGTGGTGCAGCGCAAGCCACTCAGGGTCCCTCTGTAGGCGCAGGCGTCCTGTGTCTGGCCACAGTGACAGGCAAATCCGAAACCGGATGCCGCCAACCATGTATATATATATATATATATATATATATATATATATATATATATATATATATATGCGTTTTGCAAACCAGTTGGGACACATTGGATTTGAAGCAGAAAAACAGGAATTCGCTCGCAAGAAGGAATAAGGTGAGTAGACGATTTTCAGACTCCATTGTAGTCATGCTAATGCAACCGAATTGTGTAACCAACGGGTGTCACTGCGAACTCTTCTCTTGATCGTGAACTTCGATCGCGTCGATCGAACGCGGTGGCTTAGTATCCCCATTTCTCCCCATCGGTCTTCTCGTAGTTTAGCTGCTTCTGACTTTATACATGAACCTGTGTAGCTATGTGACTATTGGAAAGTCAGATTCCCCAATCGCCTAGTCTATCATGACTTAGACAAATGTTACCTGGTATTGGAGGGTCGTTGTGAAGCACTCGTTTTGAGAATGAATTACGATGCGCCATCTCAATGTGGACCGCGATTCCCACTGAATTATACCTTGGCCAATTCGATCACTTGAACTGTAACTGATGAAGCAGATAGGCGGTGATCCAGTTGTCCCCTGCCACTCAATGGGCCTTCGTGTATTTTGTGTCGGCCAACCGATTCAGCTGCTTGATTATTGAATCAGTGTAGACTATGATAACTTCACCAAACACAGCATAGCGTTATTGGCCTACTGCTGCAATTCGTTATCAAAGAGAGAGGATTAAAATTACTGTACGATGTTCAGATGACACTGTGCTCACGCGAATGCAACGGGACTGTGCATGCGTTCCTATAGATCACTGGCGTTGTTCACCTCAAGCAAAGCCGAGTATCCTGCTGTCGCGCGAATACAATGGGACTGTGTAAGCAGTGGGCGATCGTGCAAGCCTTCCTGCCGATCAACGGTGTCGTCCACCTCGATCCAATTCGGTGACCCGGATTCCCCTGTCCTTCTATGGGGTTCCGCATATCATATATGATTGTATGGGCGAACCTATACAGCCACAGGACTATTCAAACAGTGTAGGCTATAATGACTAAACCGAATCGTCTGGCTTTATTGGCCCAGTGCTGTAGTTTTTTAACAAGGAACAGTGGAACAATGGTGTACTACGGGTAAAAAAGCACTACTTAATAAGTCCCGTGTGTGCAATGTGATTAGACAATGTGCAGGCCATATTTTTCTCATGTGAATGCAACAGAACTGCGTAACTAGTGAACGATGGTCGTTCTTCGCTGATTTTGTTCGTTTCGTGCAGCACAAGGCTATTAAAGTAATGCTGGTTCGGTGATCATGATAGCCTCCACTGATCCAATAATCGAGTAACTGAGTAGGCTCGCCCACACACCCACGTAAAATACCCGGATGCCCATAGAGTGCAAGGCCATCTGTGTAACCGGCTTCGATGGAGGTGAAAGACGCCTGTGCACAAGATGGCTTGCACCACTGTCCATAGCTTGCACAGCTCTGTTGCGTTTGCATAAGCAAAATGTGGCCGGACCATCGTCCAGTTGTCTTTCTCCCTTGCTCTGGATAACAAACTACAACAGTAGGCCAGTAAAGCTAGACTGGTGGGTCAATAAAGCTAGAGTGTGTTTGGTGGAGTCATGATAGTCTACACAGTTCCAGTAGTTCAGTAGCTGCGTTTGATCCCCCTCACACACCCGCAGGAAATACGCGGATGCCAATAAGAAGACAGGGCAAAATGTGCCACTCGCTTCGATGGAGGTGAACGACGTCAAGGATCAACAAGAGGGCTTGCACGACTGCCCAATGCTAGCACAGTCCCGTTGCATCCGCATGACCAACATGCGGCGGGAACATCGTCCAGTCGCCTTACTCCCTTGCCTTGATGACATAATGCAACTACGGCCAGCATAATTAGGCTGATTTTTGTGGATTCACTGTTCCAATATTCGAGCAGCCCACACATTCACATAAGATACGTGAAATCCCATAGAGCGATAGGGGACAACTGGGTCACCGGTTCTGGTCGAGGAATTGCGCACTCGCCCACTGGTTACGCAGTTACGTTGCATTCACGTATGTGCAATGTAGCCAGAATATCGTACAGTCCCCCTTACTCCCCTGAATAGATAAAAAGCTACCGCAGTAAACCAATGAAGCTAAAATGGTTTAGATAGGGTCATTATAACCAACAGCGTTCCAGTGATTCCAATGCACAGGTTCGCCCATAAAACCACCGGAGATACACAGAAGCTCATAGAGCGATATGGGACAACAGGGTCGTCGGCTTTGCTTGAGGTGAACAACGCCAGTGATCTATAGGAACGCATGCACAGTCCCGTTGCATTCGCGTGAGCACAGTGTCATCTGAACATCGTACAGTAATTTTAATCCTCTCTCTTTGATAACGAATTGCAGCAGTAGGCCAATAACGCTATGCTGTGTTTGGTGAAGTTATCATAGTCTACACTGATTCAATAATCAAGCAGCTGAATCGGTTGGCCGACACAAAATACACGAAGGCCCATTGAGTGGCAGGGGACAACTGGATCACCGCCTATCTGCTTCATCAGTTACAGTTCAAGTGATCGAATTGGCCAAGGTATAATTCAGTGGGGATCGCGATCCACATTGAGATGGCGCATCGTAATTCATTCTCAAAACGAGTGCTTCACAACGACCCTCCAATACCAGGTAACTTTTGTCTAAGTCATGATAGACTAGGCGATTGGGGAATCTGACTTTCCAATAGTCACATAGCTACACAGGTTCATGTATAAAGTCAGAAGCAGCTAAACTACGAGAAGACCGATGGGGAGAAATGGGGATACTAAGCCACCGCGTTCGATCGACGCGATCGAAGTTCACGATCAAGAGAAGAGTTCGCAGTGACACCCGTTGGTTACACAATTCGGTTGCATTAGCATGACTACAATGCTTACTTCTCGCAAGCGAATTTCTGTTTTTATGCTTCAAATCCAATGTGTCCCAACTGGTTTACAAAAACTCCATTTCGTTTTGCAAAAGGAGTAAAGGGGTTGCTAAATGTCTTATTTAATGTAAAACTATATATATATATATATATATATATATATATATATAATGGTTGTCTGTACAATCTATATTGAACCTTGGAAAGCCGAACCACACGCAGTCGTCTGCCAATCGGCGACCCTTGGAGCAGCATGACCTCGGCTTTGTCACCTAATGTGGTGCCACCACCAACCAGATGTGTTTTAGCTGCTTCAGTATCGCCAGGGGAAGGAAACATCTGGTCCTGAGATCAGGATGGGTACACTCTGCTGTCCACGGTCGAATCCAAATATTCCTTTACTTGTTAGCGGTTTTTCCTCATCTTTTTCCATTGTCGTTAACCGCATATCCGCTTTGTTATTTTGTTTGCTCGTTACAAGAAATCCGAATTCTTTATTTTTTTTTATCCCACTGGCTCCTTTACAGCAGCAGCTAAATGCAGATGATGTCTCCGGTGGTCAATCGGCGTTCTTGGACAACGCCGTTGAGATATCCTCCGGATTTTCATGTGAGTCGCTTCTTGTGTTTTGCCAACTTGTTCCGTCGACACGTGTGAACTGAGAGTCGCGCGGTCCTGGGACACAGGCTTCTTTGATCCGTGTGAAATCTAACTTGTACATTTGCACCTAAAATCCTAATCTGTGTACGGACGCGCCTGTCCAGTGCTTCTCGGCTCTGATTTCGTTTGTTTCCCAATTATTGCTTCTATGCTAAATTCTCCATGTGTATGAGCGAAAGTAAAATCATTATCTCAACGGCAAAATGATGTGATCTAACGGTTTACAGCCGACGCACCAAGTCGTGACTGAAACATTCGCGTCCACCATATGACTTACATACCTACCCATTGGTTAGCGGGTAGCTAACGGAACTGTGCTGATACGTTAGCGTTCCTTGTTTGACCTATGAATTTCCTCTACTTGTATCCATTTTCGGTAGCTGCTTCAGCAACATCCTTTTGCCCCAGTTGACTCGGAAATTTTCCATTCCGTCGAGTGATTCGACAGCATTGTTCCAGGATGTGATGGGTGTTCGCCTGGCAAGCGTTCTCCTGGTAAAAAGTCACAAATATCTGCTTAATAAGACTTTAACTTGGCGGCTATTCCTCGCCACTAAATAAAGTCACTGCGCCTTGTTTTCCTCGGAGAGGTTTTACATTGACAAGCAATCTGAGCATCGCATTCTACCTCTGACTGCAGGATTGTCGGGTCACTCGATTGGCTTTTCGCCATCCGAGAGGCTGATGGATTGTGTGCCCAGTTACCGGCTGCCAACAGGTACTAAACCCTTATCTGGCCCTGCTGCCTTGTAGTTTAGACGCTGGCCCTAGGCTCAGGGCGGTGATCTCCTAAGACCACCTACTATTTCGGCCTAGGCAACCGAGTAGTATCTTGCCTTCTGACAGACCTTTATAACCACACAACTACGTTCACACCTTCTCTCTTGCTCTCATGATAAATGGTTATCTTGTTGCTACACCAACTTTGTAGACACGCCATCACACTTACTCTTCTCTTGTGTCATTCACCCCCATGGTCATCTGATTTTTTAACGGTAAACCACCCTACCTCCACCGATAGTTTTTTTTACCTTAACATACGTCAACTCAGCCATGCAGTGTTCGACAGGGAGCTGCCGGCTCCAAATTATCCCATCTTCACTCCTGTAACCTAAAACGCCCGTTAAAGCTAGTCTTGAACGTGCGCACATTGTAAGCGACAGATTCGCTTGGGACTCGAGCAACTCTTAGTACTCCCGCGTCAAATCAAAGCAAGGCTGTTCCTCCCCAAGACGCGCTGTCTAACTTCCGCATTGCTTACGAGGTGCAGCCACCACACATGGGCAATGGACCACAAGCAACGGTGCTCGAAGACAGACTGCTGACGTAGGTCAACATTTCGAACAAGCCGCGTCTCGCAACCTTACAGCAGTACAGCGCGGACAGTCGCACAACCTACCCTCCCTTTGATAGAGAGACGTATGTCATATCGATGCCAAAGCTACCTCAGTCTGGTGAAGGCGAGGCAAGCTTTTGAAATGCGCATTGAAATCTCATTTTTAACCTCTCCACCAGCAGTGATGGAACTTCTTGGGTAGACGAAACTCTCAATCTCCGCTGTTTCGCCACCGAGAGTGAGAGGAGGTGTAGGCATCTGCCAGTCTTGGAAAAGTACTTTGCACTTGGACGGTGAAAAGTGCATGCCATCAACGCTTCAATCGCCAAGCGGTTAAGTTCAAATTATACGGCTTACAATTCGTCACCCAGCAAGACGATATCATCAGCGTAGTCCATGTCAGCTACTCGATTACCTGGGAGGAGCTCAACGCCAGCGTTTAGCGAGTCTCCTAGAGCATTTTTGAGGACATTCTCAATGGCGAAATTGAAAAGGAATGTATAGATAGGGCATCTTTGTCGAACTCCACTGGTGACAACAAAGGAAGGCGAAAGCTTGCCATAAGCCCTAACCCTGCCCGAGGTCGGACTGTACGTAGCACGCAGTATGATACGAACTTTTTGGGGCCACCATTTTTCAACAGATAGTGCTACAATGCAGCACTGTCGACAGAATCGAAGGCTGCACGGGTATCCAAAAACACAGCAGTCCTTGGCTTTTGATACACATGGCAGAGCTCGAGGATCTATCGGGTGCGCAAATTTGAACGATGCAGCCGCGACCATGGCGAAGCCCAGGTTGTTCTTCTCGCTTCGGCGAATCGCGCGTTGGGATAGCCTGTGAAGTATAATGGACACCAGAATCTTGTAAACGACGGAAACCAAACTTATACCTCTGTAATTGGAGCACATTGTGCGCAAGCCATTTTTGAAGATGGAGACGACTATCGAGTCGCCCCACAGCGATGAAACCTCTCTTGACCAGTGTTCTGAGGGGAAAGCGGTGAGTTTTGGAACCAGCGAATGGTCACCGTCTTTAAAGGGAGCAGGCAGTATACCATCAGGGTCGGGTGCTTTATGACGCTTTAGTAGGAGTTCCTGCCAGCTTTCCTGGTGATCGGAAAGATCTGTGGGGCAGACCACTCAGCACCAATGCGCGCTCCAGAGGAAGTAGATGAGGCTGGTGGCTAACATAACTGTGAGCCAAATTGTTCAGTCCATCGTTCTAACAGTCGTTGAAGATTAGTGATCAGTGAGCCATCCTCTTCTCTTCACTTACATCCGATCGGAAACCTGTGACTCGGGTGAGATGGAAGAGTTTTCTGGTATTACCAGAGAGACTAGCAAGTTCCATCTCTCTAGCATGTTCACACCACCAGGCTTCAGGGTCATTTTGCAAACTTTTACGTCATTCTCCATCTAAGAATCGACGTTCTTCACTACAGCTGGGGTCGGCCTAGACCGAGCGGCGTCTGTCAATCAACGAGGAGACAGCGGTAATCCACCTTTCCGTCGGGTGACGTTTAACTCCACTACTATCAATACTGACAGGCACCTTTGATGTTCACACATTGTGAATTCAGATCATCGGCAGAAGCTGAAGCAAGCATTGTCTATAAAGAGACCCGGCACATGGACAGCGTTGTAAGGTCTAGTAGATTTTCGACGTTCGGTCAGTAGTGCCTACGCCTGGGCCATCCTCCAAAACGTATGCAAACCTTAGCACCAACCAATGCGTGATCGGAGTCCAGACAAGTTGACCAGTACGATCGGTATTCTGTTTCACTTCCGCGCCATCTGTAGCTTATTGCTATGTGGTCAAGCTGGGACGACTCTTGCGTTTGAGAAGGTGGGTGCCAGGCAACAATCTTCTCAATAGAAACAAGCAATGATCAGAACGGAGAGTCATTAGTTTGTCTCCATTGTCCGATCGACTACTACCGCGGCCAAAACTACCCCCAAGCTGGTGTTCGTTTGGTGGCAAGCGGCCCACTCGGGCGTGAAACTCTCCGGCAAGAATGACAATATTAGACTTTTTGGAATAACGCAGGTCATGTAGTTGTTGATAAAAGCAATCCTTGTTCGCATCCGGGATGCAGTCTGTAGGAGCGTAAACGGAGACGACAAATAAATCGCACTTAAAATCTCGACGCTTACTTGACTTACGTGAACGTGACATACAGGCACCGTTTGTTCCCGCGCGACTTCGTAGCATGGAACGAACCAGCTAGTCTAACGGCGCACATCCGACTGTTGACTGGGATCCAATCGATCAGGACAGCTTCAGCCCGGACAGCCAGACAGGCGCAGTGAGAATGTGCCGCCAGTGTCGCATGTGGGGGATCGCAGGGTAACCACGGAGCTCGAATCTTGCATGTGAGTTTTTGATAAACAGCAAATATCGATCGATAGGGTCTCTAGTGTGCAGGCAAGTGTTGCCTGTTGGCCAATCTGTAGCAAAGTGCGCACGTTAAGGCATGCCAGTCTTAGCGAGGATCGAGGACTCCAAAGGAAAACGGATGAATTGATGTTGTCCGTTTGGTTGAACATGGACTTGTCGACTGGATTGGAGCGACACCCTATGATTGTGTGTGAATTGTAACTAGAAGACAAGCGACTATTGAAGCAAGGTGCGGGAGGGCCAAGAACTGGGGGGTTGAAACTAGGGGATAAAAGTCAACTTGAAGCGGGCCGCTAAGGATACAAAAGCGCAATAAGAAAGTGGGAGGCCTCAGCAGTAGCATCCACCCTGCTCGATGCAGCAGATAGGGCACCGTTGATTATCCTCTGCGACGGCCACAGCATCAAGAAATTGTTGGAAGAAAGGTTCATTGTATTGCGTGGGCAGAATACTGTCAGGTTGCTCAGGCCTAGAAGGAGAACGATTAGGGTTCTCAACCAAAACCTTTGGTTAGAAAACCTGACCGCAAGGCAGCGGGGTTTTGGCACTGGACTACAGGAGTGAGGAGCCACCCTCACTCCAACCCCTAACCTGAGGGCCAGGAAACTGAGTTTGTCTGGCCTCTAATCATTGACCAATCTGGTATGCGTGGCTCTGAAGGTGCAAAGAAGCACCACCCAGCTTAGTTCAATGGTTCACTGAGGCACACAAACCATCGCACCACATTAAGGTCAAGTCTCGTCGCCTAACTGCGGAACGGAAATCCCGGATTAGGGAAGAGCAGGCAGGTTTCCGCCCAGGACGGGGCTGTATAGACCACATATTCACTTTGCGGCAAGTGATAGAGCAGCGCCACGCATACCACAGGCCAACAGTGACTGTGTTCCTCAAATTCTGGAGTCAGTTTGATTCAGCCGGTTAGTGCATTTTGTTTGAAATATTTACGCGGAAAGGTGTTCCCATGAAATATGTGAATATTTTACTTGCTCTCTACTCGAACACTACGGGTAGCGTCAGCATCTACGGTGATTTATCGGATGTCTTTCCGACAGCAAGTTGCCTTCGTCAGGGATGTACGATTTCTCAATTTTTGTTTGATTTCGTCGTAGACTGCGTCATGAAGTGTTCTCTGCCGGATGCTCACGATGTAGGCGTTAAGATGCTGCCTGGCGAAAGGCTGGTTGATCTTGATTATGCGGACCATATTGTCTTGCTTTTTAGCGATGTTGAGGCGGCGCAATCAACCCTGGATAACCTATGTAGAGTAGTTCCATTACTTGGTAACCGCTTTGCAGTTTCAAGTGCAAAGTGTTGCTACAGGACCACCAGCCACTTTATGATTCCTTGACCCTAGATAGCGAGGAACTCGAGGTGCTTCATCAATGCACATACTTTGGAAGCTGTATCAGCAACGATGGGTGTATAGCTACTGAGATCAGTTCACGTATTGCAAAAGTCGGAACTGTCTTTTTGAATCAGCGACATCTTTGGCGGCAGAAAAGGGGTTCCATCCGTCTAATAGACCAGGTTTACAAGGCCACAGTGAGGGCTGTCCTACTCTATGGAAGTGAGACTTGGCCTCTTCCATCTGAAGATCTGAGACGCCTTCAAGTCTTTGATCATCGCTGTCTGCGGAGCATTGCTGGTGTCGGGTGGCACCAGCGTGTCCGCAACTATGATGTGCGCAGGTGAATACTAGGCAATGATAACCAAGCAAGTTCCTTAGAACAACAGAGCGCTGAATAAATTGCGTTAGCTTGGGCACGTACCACGTACACCCGGTTACCGCTTACTGAGAAGATACTTGTTTAGTCTGCCAGATGTAGAGTGACGCAAGGCTCGAGGGGGACAAAGGTTGACTTGGCAGCTGGGAATGAAGTCACTGACGACCCAACTTTGTGCCGTCAGTTGGTCGCGCCTTCCAGCCTGGTGTCCACATAGCCCACCCTGTGCTTGACTCTCAACTTTACAGGACATAGCTGGCAGTCGACACCAGTGATGTGTCTGCTGCCGTCTCGTAGTCGGACTGCCTGTTTAACCTCTGTTCTGCGCTGAATTATGTACGAGGTAATGGCTGATTATGACGCGTGGCACTGAAATCCGCAAAGAAACTGTCTCGCCGATGCCGCCTTATCTTTGCACGATAGCCAGCTGTTTGTGATCTTATGTTGTTGACAAGTTGTAGGCGCCTCGACCCTGAATGTTTGCTTAGGGCATTAAGCTTTTCCGGTAAGTCCCCCTTCTCTCCCTCTCATTATTTTTCCTTCCTTAAGTCGTTATGGTTTTATGGCATGGAAGCATCAGTTCAAATGGCTGATGTGCTACCGTTGATGATGATTCATGATGGATTATTGTGGAGACGAGAACGTTTGAACAGTATCTCCTCGCCCCTGTCGACTCTGCTCGATGCAGCAGATATGGCGCCGTTGGTTACCCACTGTCACAGCCAGAACATCATTGAATTGTAGATAAATTCATTGTATTGCGTGGGCCTGATACTCTCAGGTTGTCCTGGCCTAGGTGGAAGAAAGATTAGGGCACTTAACCAAGGCCTTTGGTTCTGCAACCTGACCACTGGGCAGCGGGTTTTTGGCACTGGGCTCCAGATAGTCCGTTTCACAGGGTAAGGGGTCAATCTCACTTCAACCCGCAGCCGGACTGCCAGAATGCTGAGTTTGTCTGGCCTCGAACCACTGACGAATCTGGTATGAGTAGCTCTGAAGGTGCAAAAACACCACCCATCATTGCCCTGTGTATCGCTTAGGCACACGAACCATCGCTCCACGTTTACATTCAGTCTCGTCGCGATGGAAGCACAGATGTGGAACACCATGAATGATCAATCAAGGCAAGGCCAACTTTATTACCCCTCTGCCTATATGGAGAACGCAGTATTCTTTGACATGTGCCCTTGGATTTGACTTCCACTAGCTCCCGCCACAAAACTGATACTGATACTGCACTGATGACGCCACTTCGAATGGCAATGAAACGTGTGCAATCAAGTTGTCCAGCTCGAGGGTCACCACAACAACCGAACATGCATGCTGAGCTAACAGGGTTTCAAGTAATTTCAATCAATAAAAGACTGGGGTTTCTGGAAACATATGCTCTGGGTTCGTTGCGCTCATAATATCAGCTTGGTGAAACGGCTGATGAACAGTCGTTCGTGTCGTTTTTGGTCTCGTGAATACCTTCAATCGAATGACTAATGCCGATGTCAGCAAACAGACTGAGTGGGTTTTCTCGGAGCACTCCTCTAGAACTGCTTTAGTCTGATGCTCGATAGATGCTTATGATTTGCACGAACCCAACGCAATTCAACGGAGTGGGGTTCTGTTGGTATACGGATCACTAGGACTTCTGTGCGTCTGCTCCGACGCCAAATAGAGATAGGAGTTGTCTCTTCCAGTCAGAAGCCGCACGTTTCCCTCCAGCTGCAGTTTCTGCAAGTTAAATAGATGAGCCCATCAGTTTAAGTCATTTCTTCGGGTATGCATTCTAATTGTTGCATGAACATTTCTGACCGATCTGACTGGATCTAGTCCTACTGTCTCATAACCATCCATCTGGTGGATACATCTGACATTGCCGAACATGTTACTTTGTCTAGGCCATGGTGTCTGTGAAGAGTTTTCTAAGTCTAGACTAGATAATCGCACAAGATGGGACAGAGAAGTCGTAGGCTAGTAAACCTATAATATACGCACGGTCTGGGCAGAGAAATTAAAACGTAACTTCCTGTTACCGTGTTACTACAATTCAAATTAAACACAGTAATCCACTTACGAATAGATTTAGAATCGTGGTGGGAAAGTGCAGAAACTGGGAGACATGCGGCAGCGTGACAAAACGGTACAGCGTAGCAGTTTCTCATCGGTAGACTGTCAAGGATGGAATGTTGAACCTTGAAGGGTCAAGGACATGTTAATAACACGAAGTGAAAGCGTAAATTGTTTCATTACGCAAGACTTTGAGGCAAACCAGTGTAAATTTCTGTAAGGAAATAAGTAAAGATTTGGGAAAAATGCCTATTATATCCTCAATAGGTAAAGCAGTTTGGCTGAATATTCAAGGTTCTCTTGGGACTTTCCAGTGCTGACTATTTGGCTGAGCTCTGGCCTTGATGGGAAGCAAGATTGTTTTTAATCAGAATCGCACGGAATTCGCTAGATCTGTTTCTTGCCTTCCGGTTGATTCTGCCTGACTGTTCACGGTAGAGCTGAAGACGAGTCCTCTGAAGTTGTTAGGTTCATGTCTCCACTAAGAATCAAACGACTCTGCCATACACCCCAGTTATTATCTAGTTTTCTCATTCGGTTGTGTTTTGTTACTCCTATAAATGACTCGTTGCCGCAAACTATGTAGCTTTTCGGCAACCAATCAACGCACTAACTCAGATCTGGAACTCTTTCGTTCTAATAGTCGGTACTTAGCTATCAGTTTATTTCGTTTGTGGTTACCCGTATACTCTTATTCGAGTTCACTAGCCCAACTTTCACAGCGCGTACTCCGTGCGGCCCTTCTATATGCTTGTATCCGATATTACCTCGTTTCATTCCTACGACGGAATATAGCTGTTTTTTCTTTGTTATCCTGTGATTTGCATCTTTACACCAATCGGCCTTTCGACGGAGTATCTACCAACTTCTCGATTACTCCCTGTTCACTAACTTTTATTAGTCCTTGTGTTGCCTAGATGTTATTGTATAACATCATAACAAAGAGTACTCTTTTATCAGTTCGGACGCTCAATGGCTTCGTCTTGGGAACTCAGCATAACGTTTACATTGGATACCTTGTGTTTGGATTTTAACCATTCGCTACTTCTTCACTAGGATTGATCGTCCATTGGATTTCAATGAGTGAAGTACACTTTTGGAGCATTTGCTGTAGGGGAACATGCTTAACTCGTATGTCAACTCGTATGATCTTGACTGGGCGGCACTTATCCAACTTTCCTTACCGCGAGCCTCGTGCCGGTTTGTCACTTTGCCGTTGTTGCCTACACTTCAACCTGTTAAGGCCACGCGTTTCTACGCCACCAAGTTTTAAAACTTAAATTAACTTTGGGTTACTCGATGTCCTTTCTGATTACTTGCTCGGTCACTCTTAATCCATACCAGTTTACTCGACGCGCATTCTCAGACCAGATTCTGTCCATTATTCTGCAGCACTTGGTCCGCAATTGTCTCAAATCCCTCTTCCCCCTCCGACGGCGTTGCCTTCTTTCACTGGTCTCATCCGTCCCGGATTCCCGGGTGCTCCACAACCCAATCAACTGCGATTTGCTATGCAATCTGGTCAGTTTCGCTCACACTTTTTCCCTACTTGCCTTTGGTAATGATCGCTCAGTTGTTTACCTGGGATTGCTCCATCTAGTATTTGCAGTGCCCGTCTATCCCCTTTCAGTAATGATTCGTTTACCTTCAGGCAGACATCTCTCTTCCTGCACTTCAACACATGCAGTCTACTGTATTCATAGGGAATTTCCCCCATCCACTGCTTTCAAGCACAGCACTTCACTGTAGTTATGGTTCGTTTCACTTCGACACCATTTACATTTTCGCATCTTTGCCAGCTGCAGCCAATCTACCATGGTTCGACTACCTCGCTTTTGTATCTTGTGTGTTGATTAATCCCATTCGTTTGATACACATTTCCGTTTCACTAGTCTCCAGCGTACTTTCCTCTACCCTCACTTAGCTGGCAGCGCTGTTCTATCCGCTCCTCCAAGTTTGCTCCCACGAGACCCTCTGGACAATGCGGACCTGGTCAGTGGTGCCGCCGTGCCGACTGGTCAACCAAGCCAACCGGTTGCCAGTTTGACTGGGACTACAATCGAAGCAAAACCGCGGTTAAAAAATCTGATTGGCGACGCAACACGCTTCGTTCCAACTGCACTTAAAGTGCGCCGGACTACACGGGATCCTACCGGTCGACTCGTGACAACTGGTGGGGGAGTTTCTTCTGCTGCAAGTAAGCAGCGTCTATTACTGTTTTCTCTTTTCCTCCTTTTTTATAGGCTATTCACATATCAACTAACCCCTCTACGTCGCGTCGTTTAGTTTTAGAATATTGATATGGATTTCTCAAATGTATCCCATTATTAAACGCCACCTCAAGTCACCATAGTTTGTCACATCTAAAGCAACCACTACTATTTAACCGAAGTAACTTCTGCCCACTCATTGTCTAGTAAGCCTGTCCGCCGTAACTCTTATTCAGCTCTCTGGCATACGACTTACTCGTGCGACACGGAGCCAATAAAGTAAATGTCCACGGGCATTCAAGCGATAAAGGCCTTGAAGCCATCGTTCGGGTAACTTTCACTCGGTCATTATGATCTTCCGAAAAGTATACATGATAACCTGTAGTCCCCTGTTTTCCTGATGCGCGTCCCATGTTATATAGTTTATTGATGAGTACACTTACTCACGCAACTGGACATCTATCAGCGACGTTCAGCAGACCGTATTATTCCATTTCTTAAAACGTATATCTGCTTTAATCTAGCTGCCTGAGTGTATGTTTATCAGGTGCTCTTTCTGCATCCTCATTGCCTCCCCACGCACCAAGTAGCAACGATGATGGTTATGCTGACATTTCGACGCACCTGAAACGCAGCTCTAGATATCGTTGCCACAGTTTCTCCGGACTTACTCTTCATAATCTCACCCTGTTCTTTACATTCCACAAGTGTAGAGTTTGAGTAGGTTTTATATTCACCCCACTGTTCCTCTCTTCGGCCTCATGGCACTTGAGGTCATGACGTCTAGTGTTTTGATGTCATCCACAAAATCGTTTTATCGTGTGCTTTGTTAACGATCACCACCTACTTTTGTTTCGTATTTTGCGACTGATTATATGACTAGCGTCATTTAGTTCCCAGCTTCAGCTCCCTAATGATGGCAGTTTGCGTAGCTTATCCGATCCTTTGTTCCTTCCTATACTGCTGATTCCCTTTGCCTTTCCATTTCTAATGTATACCCCATTTCATTTGAATTCAACCCTGATCTGGCTCTGTCGGTTCCCTTCTTGAGCGTCATTCAGTTCTACGATACTTAGCTGGACTTACATGGCATGATTTCTTCCAATCAGGTGATACCATGCAACAGCATTTCAATGCAGTTGCCCCTGCCCATCTTCTCTTTTACCTTAGCTTCCCATATGTGTAGGTACCCGTGCTAGGTCCCGCTTGCTAGACATATAGGACATACTTTAGCCTCAATTGCAATCTTTTTCCTATTTTTTATGAAATTCTCCTTTTTCCCCACTTTGTTCATCACATTCCTGACTTCAGAATCCACCGGCGCAGCATACGATCGGGCCAGTCGAGCCGATGGCGCGGCATCAGCCACAAGCAAAGACGATGCGTACGAGGAATTCATGCGGGAAATGGAGGGCCTTTTATGAACCGACCTTGTCTACTGTTGCGTTTCCAATGTGCGAAACAACACCTGTATAGTTTTCATCACGTCTATGTTCATTACCTGTTACTGTGATTTCTTTTCATGAAAGCAATTTGCTTCCTTGACGATGTGTCCAGTGGGGTCCGTCACTATCTATAGACCGATCTCTTAGTCGTAACAATCTGCGAGTTCTTCGGTCTCTTGCACATTGCAGCATCACTTCCGTCGAAACTAGGTTTTTTACGCTACACTTCTTCTCACAGGCGATGAAATTGCGTAGCTTATTACTTCCGACACCTGTACGTTATTTGTTGTGCCCGGGATATTGAATAGGCCAACTTGTGTTGTGCGTTTGTACGTCGGACACTCCAACCGTTCGAATCTGCTTGGATGCGGATTACTTAATCCGCGCGCATCTATTGGTAGTCACGTGGCATCTCAGCATCGGTGCGACATATTGCCGTTCTGTTGACGCTTGAATTGATCAACTGTAGCGTGGGGGCATGGCGTTACGCTGTCTTTTCTGGGATTCTAATATGGTTTGTAGAATCCACGATCCTCTCCATCGTTGGAACCGTATCTGGATTTCAGGATTTTTCACTAAGATTGCCAAGTATGAAAACTTTTCCAGTCATAGTTGAGTATCGAATAAGATTTCCATTGTGCTTCATGCACCCCATGTAACTGTACAACCTGCCTGTTTCTCTCACTATGTTCCTATTCAGAGAATACACTGGGCTTCTGCACTTACTGATGAATTTGGAGTTTTTCTTTGCCTTGTTAAAGGCGTTCGGCGACTCTTACGCAACGACGACGTCCAGTGGGAAATTAGGGGCTCTATATCTCGGCTATATAGGCAGACGTTTGACTATTAGTGACTTTGCAATTTAGCTCACATCTGGTGGGAACACCGCGTGAGCTATGCGTGTGTTCCGCATGGCGTATTTAACGCAAGTAGTGAACCAATTCCATTGTCACCATTGTTGTTGTACTCTTTTTATGATTTCCTTTATCCTCTAAACAGTGTACGAAAATCGCCCCTGGTCTAGTACGGTCACATGATCAAAAACGCTTTCAAAAGAATCATCAATAAAAGTTTAAGAAAAAAAGGAAAGGCATCGTGTTGACTAGCAAGTAGGACTGAAGCGTTGTCCCGTAAACAAGGCACGGATTCCGCTGATTCTGTCCAAGTATACTCGATCACTTTTCGGGAGCATTGATGATCTTACATGCATTCTACAGTGAAGGGAATTTCTGACTGCTAGTATAGTGATATTGCAGGAGATTTGGTTGCATTCTGACATTGATGATGAAGTCCTTAATCTCGATGGCTACCGCCACATTAGATCCGACCACCCATGGAAGCCCCAGCATCGCGGAGTAGGTGTCATCACCTACATCAGGAAAATTGGTATAAGTCCGTTTCAAAACTCTCGGAGTACTCAGTAGGCTGTCACCTATTGGAGTTCAAACCAAGGTTTCTGAGCGGTACACCAACTGTCCTAGTCGGAAACGTGTGCGTAGCTGCTGTCACAGCGCTGTTATGGTCGTGAAAGCTTGCAAATCACCCTGCTTTGGAGTTGCATCCAAAGTTAGAATGTCTTATCTGTGTTCTTGCCGTCGACTTCGATAGGAGCGATACAACTTTCATTAACACAATGGGCTTAGCCAATTTAGTGCAATTTCCCTCAACACTCGATGCGCATATATATTCTGTTTTTCACTAACAAATTCTAACTCATTTCTACGCAAAAGCGTGATTCCGATCATCGCTAGTACAGTTATGCAGTAAGGCCAACTACGCTGCGCTAACTTAAAGACCATCTAGAACTGTTGAACGACGGAACTACACGGCAAGTAACATCGAAGAACCCAAATCAACGTTTTGTCCAAATGATTTGTCCGTTTTTACTGATGAAGACTCGTCTGTTCAATACGAACACCTCACAGACTATATAAACTGTTTTGATCCTTATTAACCCATTGAGACAATCTCTTTGCGAAATGACGGCTTTCCATCTCCGTTGCTCAAGCGTCTGCGGTGGGAGAAAGAGCAGGCTTATAATTGTCAGCTAATGACAGGTGTTAAGTGTCTGTTCGTGACTTTAAAAGCTGAAATAAGAGTTAAACACTGTACATTCAGACCGTTTCAGATAACCACAGTTGCCGCGACCTTTGGAGGCTTCTAAGACAATTCTCGGGAAAGTATTTCTTCAGAACACTTAGTACCGAGGATGTCGACAAACACAACGCTGAGTTCAGCTCCTCATCACCTAACGCACTCCCTGCCTTCCCTCACCACTACTGTCTCCCACTTTATTTACTCCCACAAGTGTTTACGAAGAGCTCTAAATATCGAAACTATACAGTACCCGTGGACTGCATGCTCTATCACCAGTCGCTCTGAACACTGTGCAGATGCCTTAAAGACACCTTCGACAGAGATCTTAAATCGCTGCTTATCGACTGGTACCATCTCTGCAATTTGGAAATCAGCGAGAATACGACCAGTGCCTAAAAAGATCCCACAAGTATCAGCCAATTGTGTACATGTTCGTGGTGTTAGAGGTAGTGAAAAGGCTGTTGATCCCCAGCATTTTCACAGGCAATCATACCGATAATGTCAAACAGTTTGCCTATAAACCAGGGTGCTCTCTATCAGATGCTGTTTCGTATCTGGTGCATTACCTTGCGTTCGCGTTGGTTACTTGAAGCAACAGCCTACGGCTCCTATTTCTCCATTATACCAACGCCTTTGGGAGCCTCGACAGGTCGTCACTGCTTAGTATTTTGTCCGAAACTGGTGTCCCCTCATATGTGTGTGGTGTGATGCGCACTCACTTCGCGCAGCTATGCGGCAGCAAGTCATCTGAACTCCCAAGCAACGGTGGTATCTTGCAAGGAGCCATCTTTCCCCCTTTCTATTCTCTTTCTACGTTGAATATCTCCCTATTCCATTAAATTTCATAGATTGTAAATATAAAAGTAACCTCGTTCTGGTATGCATAGCCCCAATCATCGAGGACTCCTTGAAACTCAACGTGGGTTAGATGAACTAGTGAATTGGTCTAGCTCCCCATCCCTCAATCCTTCCAAGTAATGTGACGTGACGTTCCGTTTTCTACATCCCAACAGGCAGCAATCCCTTGTACATATCTCTCCTCCAACGATTGTGCATGACCAAACCATTCCTCGCACATCCACTGTAAAAATTCTAGGACTTTCTATCTCACAACTTATCTTGGTCTACACATGTTCTTGAAACATTGTAAAAATAGTGAGGAGACTCGCTTTTTGCGCACTCAGGCTCAGCATATTTTCCGTTCCCTGTGCTTTGATTCCAAGCTTTGTAACTGCATGTATTATTCCCCAATGATCATACTGTTCCCCTGTTATTTTACCCGAACTTTTTCAGAAGAATTATGTGCTCCTCCGTTCACTAACATTTATTTATCGTTGATCTAGATTAAGGTAAGAACTACAAATTGTTGTTGTCGTTAACAAATATTTTGATATATGCGCCAATTTTCATTCGCCATTTTACAAGACCCTTCGCGTCCCTTATCTACTATTCTAGCCATCGCTGTATCTACTTCTACACGGTCGAAATTTAAAGTTTTGTATTCTCCTGCCATGTAGTCTCGAAGCTTCATCCTGTCTTATCTTTCACGCTTACTAGCCGCCCCACCAGGAATAAGATACAGGTTTCGTAAACGTGCGATTGACTGAAGATGTAACTTTTCCGTTTTGCTGCTGTCATTTTTTAGTTTCTCATTGATGCCGGGTTTATATCACGTTCCGCAGTGTTAGTGTTGGGGCCCACTCTGTTCCTAATCCACATCAACGATCTATCTCAATTTCTTCGGTCGCCGTGTGCCCTGCACGCCGAACAGACGATGGTGATCGATTTATGCAAATGTACGCTGTCCACAACCTTTACCTTAGCAGCACTGCCCTTCAGCACAAACCTTCACACCGCGTCGCCTGGCGCCCACCGATTCCCTCAATGACCTGGACCGAAATTGACCATATTACCATCAGCTACAGATGACGCACATCAGTCCAAGACTGTTAGCCAATTTCGAGCAAGTGCCTCGACTCCGACCATGCTCTAGTGTGCGCACGCTTGTCGCTCACTGTTCCCGCTTAATGGAAGCGTCTATTTTCTAACCTCACCTGTAACTTGAACTCGCAATCAGCAGTTCAACGATATCATGACGAACCGACCCGCCAATTGTAATTGATGAATGAGGTTGGCGATCCGAACGCTAACTGAGATTGTTTCAAGTATGCCATAAAGAATGCCTTTAACGCATGCTGTGCACCCAACTTGAGACGTAACTGTGAATGGATCTCTGATGCATCCATCAGCTTGATCGAAGCACGAAAACAGGTTCCGATGGACACTGAGTTTCGGCGTATCCGTAAAACCCTGAAACGACAACTGACAAATAGTCTCCGAGTTGACCAGGAACGTTGGTTGATGGCAAAAGCGCGTGAGATGGAAAAATCCAGTGCTATTGGTAACAACGGAGGGCTATTCCAACTCATTCGGACACGGGTCCGAGAAAGCCATCGGTTAGCGTGACACTAGCTGAGAAAGACGACTAACTGATCCATTCTCATCGTCGTCGACTATCCCTTTGGGCGGAATATTTTGAAGAGCAGTTTGGTAGGCCTGCTGCGACATTACCGCTCGCCGAATCTCCTGCGCCGTCGTGAGAAGCAGATGTGACACCTACTACTTTGAAAGAGATTTCACATGAGCTTTCCTTGTTAAAACAAAACAAGACTCCTGGACCCGATGACCTTCCTCCATCTTTACTGAAAGATGTTGGTGATCCTTTGTTGACTGGACTCGCCACTCTATTTAACACGATATGGAACAGTGAAGAGGTACCTTCAGACTGCCAATTGTCCTGCCCTTCTTCAAGGAGGATCAGTGTGGTTTATGCGAAAATCATCGAGGCATTAGCCTTGTTTCCGTTGTATTCAAACTCCTCA